AATAATAATAATAATAATAATATTCCTTCCTTCTCCTTGAGGGGACTCAGTGTGGATTACAGCATATAATCAGATACAGGCAAACATTCAATGCCTTGTTATATAAGAAGACACTAGGTCAAAGTGCAACCAAGTTTTTAAGCATATGGTTAATATTCCCTCTATTCTGAATTGCAGTCTCCAAAACAATAGAATTCTCCTGAGAGACTGCTCCCTATCTCTTTGCAAATGATCCATTTGTAAAGTTTTGCGTTAGTGTCTAGCAGTCCCACACATTCTTAAACTCTCTACATAAGAGCTTTACAGTCAATACTGTGTCATAATTGTCATTTTACTGTGTCAACTGACACAGAACTATGTTGAAGTAATCTAACTCCTTAGTAGACATTGCTGGACCTCACAACCTCTGAGGATGCCTGCCATAGATGTGGGTGAAACAACAGGAGAGAATGCTTTTGGAACATGGCCATACAGCCCAGAAAACTCACAGCAACCCAGTGAGTCATTCTGGCCATGAAAGCCTTTGACAATACGTTGCTGGATTTTATTCCAAGAAGGCTGCAAACCAATTGCTAGCTCCAACTAGAGTAGACCTATTGAATCTGTGTTAGTTAGGCAATTCCTCATAGCCTGTGGATGATGGCCCTCCAAGTGTAATGTCTTGGTGGTGGGTCCATAGATCTGTGGAGATCTGTGGAGATCTATTCTTGATCTGCATGTTCTTCCACAGTGAGGACATCGGTTTCGAGGAGGAATGCGGTCCCGGTCAGGGTTGGCTTGGTGTGCCTTCCTTTTGGCATATTTCTCCCTTTCACCCTCCATGCGTGCCTCTTAGAATTCTGCACAACTGACCTCCAGTTAGAGTGCTCAAAGGCCAGGGCTTCCCAATTCTCAGTGTCTATGCCACAGTTTTTGAGGTTGGCTTTAAGCCCATCTTTGAATCTCTTTTCCTGTCCACCATCATTACGTTTTCCATTCTTGAGTTGGGAGTAGAGTAACTTCTTTGGGAGATGGTGACTGGGCATTTGGGCAACCTGGCCAGTCCAGCAGAGTTGATGGCGTAGGAGCATCGCTTCAATGCTGGTGGTCTTTGCTTCTTCCAGCATGCTGACATTTTCCCCACCTGTTTTTCCAAGAGATTTGCAGGATTTTCAGCTGATGGAATGTTCCAGGAGTTGATGTGACATCTGTAGACAGTCCACTTTCCCAAGGCATATAGCAGGGTTGGGAGGACAATAGCTTTATAAACAAGCACCTTGGTATCTCTACAGATGTCCCAGTCCTCAAACACTCTCTGCTTCATTCAGAAAAAATGCTGCACTCACAGAGCTCAGACAGTGTTGTATTTCAGCGTCAATGTACCTTAACTCTTTATCAGATTAGAGACCTCTACCTCTGAGTAGAGAGGGAAGAAAGGAAAAAGCTTAGCCCATCTCAGGAGAACTTAAAAGAGTTAGTAATTCCCTATACTCTCTCCACCTTGGTGCTGCTTCTTAATAGCCAGGCAGGGATATGGTGCCAACAAGGGGCAACCCCCACCCCCAGAGGTGGCATTAGTGCTTTTCCTTTCTGTGGAGTGACGCTTAAATTATCCAGGGGTTATATCTAAATCCATAATCCCCCCCCCCAAAAAACCCCCCCCTGCCTTTACGTATACATGTGGTCAACATATATCTGAATATATATGGTAGTTTTTCTAGTTGGAAGGAATGATCTAGTCATTGCATTTACTAGTCTTCTGTACTTGGCATAATTTAGTAAATGGATTTAGATTTAGATATAAATATTCAGAAATACAAGAGGAATTCCCCCTCCCCCAGTATATATAAAATACAATAAAGCAGCATTATCTGTTTATAAGGAATTTGGGACCATTTGGATAGAAGCTATGATTTCCCCAAATAGAATAACTAGTACTATTCAGTGCAAGCAAAAGAAAACCATTAAAGTGTAATTTACCAAATAATGCACAAAGAAACCTGCTGTGAACTTTTGTAGAAAAATGTTGTATTGAAATTATGATTTTGACACTCACAGATATCTAAAGATGACAGGTATGTAGCTGAGAGGTATGCAGTTAATTATCTTCCCAAAAAACTAAATCAGAAACAAGATAGAAATCTCTTTTTTGAGGTTGTTTGAATGAATCTCTTCTGTAAGCTTGTAACGGTGCTATTTTTGCAACATTTTCAGCTTCTTATGAGACACAGATTTCTTGTTTCATGCCATGTACTACGCTTTAAATCTGCATGTGACAATATTGTTGAAATCATAGCTTTTCAACATCCTCCTCAGTGCTCTTTGTAATATCTCCTCTCCAACCATGAAAGTGCATCAATCATTCCAACAATTAGAGCCATAAAAAGGAGAGCTTTTAAAGAGCCTTGAACTTATGTTAATCCTCTGTTAGCAGTGTACATTTCCAACATAATAAAGTCACAATTCTCTCAAGAGAAGTTTTTAAGTAGAAAATTATGTGCTCAACTAGCATTAGCCACCATCCTTCTGTATGGCTTAGCCCATTCTTTCCATAGCAAGGTCACCTTAAAGTCTCACATCATTTATCCCAGAAGAAGAAAAGACACATTAGTTTTGTTGGAATTGCTGGATAATTATAGCAGTGAAAGAGAGAATGTGTGAATATTGTGGATGAGAACTGGCAAGCTATGTTGGCATGATGTAGCAAATAGTAAATAGGGACTTGTGATCAGATTGTGAAGCAAGCTGGACAATATTGAGCCAACATGTGTCAGCCTCAACTTGCTTTACGGGATTGTTGCATGTCTTCTTGAATTCCTCGAAGGAAGAGTGGGTCAGTTCAGACAAGATATAATAAACATGACATAATAGTAAGCCTGGCTTTTTGGTTCTGAAAACAGTGCTGCAAATAGAAATAGTTGAACCAACTAGGGAGCTAAGTTTTGTGATTTGCTTTGTGTCCTGTCTGATTGCAGATACTGTTGGAGCATGTAAGAAATCAGTTGTTGTGTGTGTTAACTGTAAATGCAAAGCATGAAGCTGATTGGTTGGGCCATGTCCAGGGAGCTAGCTGAGCCTGGGAATTTTGGCAGCAGTTACATTTTTTAGACTTGAGCTGTGTAGGTGCTTGCAGAAAGCGAGAGACTGTTCTTGCTTCATGAGCTGCTGGAAGGAGATATTCTACATGGACACTGAAAAACCGTTTATATTTCTCTAAAGGCCAGGTTAAGCATCCTGCTTCTCCAGGCTTCACCGAGAACAGAGGGGGCAGCAGGGCAAATCTGTTGCCATGCACGCAGCGCCCTCTCAGTAACACTTTCCCCATTACACATAGGAGTTATTGCCATTCTGTAGAGCAGGGGTCCTCAAACTAAGGCCTGGGGGCCAGATGTGGCCCTCCAAGGTCATTTACTTGGCCCTCGCTCAGGGTCAACCTAAGTCTGAAACAACTTGAAAGCACACAACAACATCAGCCAACATCTATCTCATCAGCCAAAAGCAGGCCCACACTTCACATTGAAATACTAATAAGTTTATATTTGTTAAAATTGTTCTTCATTTTAATTATTGTATTGTTTTTAAGTGTTTTTGCACTACAAATATATGTGCAGTGTGCATGCTTCCTCCTATGTTGTGAGGCAAGCATCCGAGGATGCTTCCACCCTGGTTGGAGTCACATGATGTCATGTGATGGCCGGCGTGGGGCTACATTCCCAAGACAGGGTGGAAGCATCCTAGGACACTGAATTAGGTAAGTGTGATGAGGTCATAAGAGTTCTGAATATCCAACATTAATCCTATTTGAATGAGAGAAATGAACACACTCCTGTACAGTCGCCCCTCCTCGTGTATGGATTTTGCACCCATGGATTCTTTCATCCAGTGTTTACAAATATTATGTACACACACCCAAAAATATTTTAAAAACAAACTTTGATTTTGCCATTTTATGTAAGATGCTGGTGTGTTGTTATTGTTGATGGTTTTTATGGTTTTGTTTTGCAATCTTGAGAGGGCTATCTTAAATTATTTAACGGTGACCCACCATGTAATCTGAATCCATGATTTCCAGTGGTTACAGATCATCATGGTGCCATATTAGTAAATGGCAGCTAAGTGAATGTGAACACATGGAATTATGCATGTACATGTCATCACTATTTAATACCACGAGCATGACTATGTTTGTGATAGGCTCTGAAACCGAACCCTGTATACCATTTTTGAAAATACTATTATTTTGTAGAGCACTTCAGACTACCGATACCTTTTAACAGCTCTTGTTTTTAATATAAGAGATTATGTATGTTCAGTTATATCTGGCATTCAGAGTATCTTGACAACTTAGGAATAATCTGCACCTGTACATTGAGTCGACCACAGTACTTTAAAATGAAGAAGAAACATATGTAAATAATCCAGGTATTTTAAAATAAAAAAACACAAAAATTTCAATTTGGCTTCAAAAATATTTGGTTTTACTATGTGTCTTCAAGCCAGCTAAGATTTACGGCAACACTATCATAAGATTTTCTTGCAAGGCTTATTCAGTGGGGGTTTGTCATTGCCTTCCTCTTCAGCTGAGAAGATCTGACTTACCCAAGATCACCGAGTTTTCATGATTGAACAGGGATATGAATCTTAGCCTTCCTGAAACCTAGACCCTCAATCAGCTCACCACACTGATTCTCTTGGATAATTATCATTATTTTAACATTCACAGAGAGTTGCTTTGAAAGAACTGGGAGCAAGATGATAGCTGTTCTACAGAGCAGGAAATATCACATCAAATAGGAACACTCTTCTGAAAAAGCAGGATTTCTAATAGGGTCCAGTTATGTTTGAGGAGTAAGATATCTTGACATTTCTGAACTGTGTTTTATTTCTTGAGTGAAAAGGTGTTAAGGTGGTAACTTGCAATGAAACATGATGATGAACCAATTTGATATCATATTATAGATTGGTGACATACCATGGTGCCCACTTTTTACTCTTTCTTTTTCTGATTCTCCTCCCCACAGCTCTGCTTTGTGATGTTTTGGACTCCCAACGTGTCAGAGAAGATCTTAGTAGACATCATAGGTGTGGATTTTGCCTTTGCAGAGCTTTGTGTCATCCCACTTCGGATCTTCTCCTTCTTCCCAGTTCCAGGTATGGAAGGAGGGCACAACCCTTAGTATTTCCTTTGGCATCTCCTTGCTTTGTATAAAAAGCTGGTCAGATTCAGTGAGAGAAACTGAAGTGGTTATCTTAATTAAGTGGCTTTTTTTTAAGGACTGAGTGCAACATTACTAAGAATAGTCATATTCTTCATATTGTACACAAGCAAGTCCTTTATTTCAGCACGAAGGATTCATTCAATCTAGTATATCTGCAAGAAGGCTAGATGAGGACTCTTCTGTCTGACACTTAATGTTCTGTGTTCAGGGTTTTAAACATTTATTGTTGCGAGTCCATTATTAACTATTGATGTAAGCTACCAAATGAAGTATTTTCTGTGAGAGTCTCATGTCTGCTTAAAACTATGAAATACATTACCACAGTCAAATCCATTGCAATCTATTTTAACAACAAACCTTTCACAAGAAAACTAGTATGGCAGGACAAATATACAACCAATATCAAACCTGATGTTGAAAGTCCAGATTTTAATATCCCGGTTTTGTGGCTAGCTTTAAAAGTCTTGTGTAAATAAGGAGTTTTCTGAGATCTGCCAGGGAGGCTCTCCTCTTGGTCCCGCCACCTCACAAGCACAGCTGGTGGTTAAGAGGGAGAGGGCCTTCTCGGTGGTGGCCCCCCAGCTTTGGAACGCCTTCCCAAGGGAGATTAGACAGGCCCCCCACACTGTCCTCCTTTCGTAGGGATTTGAAGACATGGCTTTTCAAACAAATGTTTGAGAATACTTAGTCTCTATTTGTTCTGCGCATCCTTGCACATTATCCTATGCCATTGTTGCAGCTTGCACTTATTCTATTTCTATTGTTTACAGCAGGGGTCCTCGAACTTTTTAAACAGAGGGCCAGGTCACAGTCCCTCAAACTGTTGGAGGGCTGGATTATAATTTGAAAAAAAAAATGAATGAATTCCTATGCACACTGCACATACCTTATCTGTAGTGCAAAAAATACTTTAAAACAATACAGTAATTAAAATGAAGAACATTTTTAACAAATATAAACTTATTAGTATTTCAGTGGGAAGTCTGGTCTGCTTTTGGCTGATGAGATACGATTGTTGTTGTTGTTGTGCACTTTCAAGTCATGCACTTTCAAGTCAGACTTAGATTGAACATGAGTGAGTAAATGACCTTGGAGGGCCGTATCTGGCCCCCGGGCCTTAGTTTGAGGACCCCTGGTTTACAGCATGGCCATGTTTACAGCAGTTTACTACCACTGGTTGATGATTTCAATTTTATGGAGTCTGAGTTAATGTTATTATATGTGTATGTGTTTTATTTTATTGCATTTTATATTGTGCTTCATTTCTATGTTTATTTTTGGACACTTGGTGCCATCTGTAAGTTGCCCTGAGTCCCTTTGGAGAGGTGGTGGTGGGATATAAGAATAAAGTTGTTGTTGTTGTTGTTGTTGTTGTTGTTGTTGTTGTTGTTGTTGTTGACAACACTGGTTGATGATTTCAATTTTATTGCATCTGAGTTAATGTTTTTATATGTGTGTGTGTTTTACTTTATTGTATTTTATATTGCGCTTCATTTCTATGTTTGTTTTTGGACACTTGGTGCCATCTGTAAGTTGCCCCAAGTCCCTTCGGGGAGATGGTGGTGGAATATAAGAATAAAGTTGTTGTTGTTGTTGTTGTTGTTGTTGTTGTTGTTGTTGTTAACACTAGTTGATGATTTCAATTTTATTGCGCCAGAGTTAATGTTTTTATATGTGTTTTATTTTATTGTATTTTATATTGTGCTTCATTTCTATGTTTGTTTTTGGACACTTTGTGCCATCTGTAAGTTGCCCCAAGTCCCTTCGGGGAGATGGTGGCGGGATATAAGAATAAAGTTGTTGTTGTTGTTGACACTGAAAATCAGCCTTAACAAAGTGCCAGCTGAACATATTCAGTGCAGGAGGGTTTTCTATCAAAACAATTTTCTCCCTAATAGCAATCTGCCTCCCCATTCATTTGATTGGGGCAGATCCTCTGAAGATGATTTTACATCTTTAGGTACATATTTGTGGGATAAGGTGGCATTTCAGGTGAGATTGTCCCAAACATTAAGAATTACACACTCCAGATATTGGATTCCAATTCCCATCATGCCTCACTGCTGGCAATGCCAGCTAGGTCTGATGGAAATAGTAGTCCAGCCACGTTTGAAGACCCACATGTTTCTCGTCCTTCATTAAGGGTGGTAATGTCTGAGACCAGCACATTGCATTAGTGCCAGAAACTAAATTCACAGAACAAAAATGCCCAGTCCTATTGAATGATTTTGCCTTCAGCTGAATGAACTCTCTGCAGTCTGAAGTAGTCCAGAAATAACTTTACCTGCCTTGTGTTGTTTGTACAAACAAGAAAGTCCTGCATTGTTTCTAACAGCTGTCTTTCAGTTGTTCTTCTCCATTAGCAACACCCAGACATGACATATATGCCTCAACAGTGATTCAATTGTACTTCTATGCATAACAGAGAAATAGAATCAAACACATTTTGTGAGAACCAGGTTGTATCTGTAAACTGCTTGTCTGCTGTGTCCACTTATGTGAGTTGGTTAGCTGGACTGAAGACATATAGCTGTCAAGAATGAACCCTTATTGTGAATGGTCTCTGCAGTAGACAGAACTGATAGCCTCCTCCTTGCTGCTAGGATCTCATTCTTCTTTCTGCATTTTTTTTCCAGTCACTGTAAGAGCACATTTGACGGGATGGTTAATGACGTTAAAAAAGACATTTGTGCTGGCCCCAAGCTCAGTGCTGCGGATCATTGTACTCATCACCAGTCTCATTGTGCTGCCTTACTTGGGGTAAGTTACGCTACATGGTGCTTCATTTTCCCCGTTCCTCCCCAGGGCCACAGTATGGACAATGTATTGCCCCTTTGAGTTACAAACACCTTGGGTTTTTTTTTGGGGGGGGGCGTTGTAATAAAAACTTTATTTAAAAGACCAAATGGAATTAATGTTTAATTATTTTGCCCCAATGTGTAGTGTATTTAAAAATGGTACAGATATCCATAAACAATTTTCTTATCTCCTCCTGGACTTTCTTTTGCTAAGGTGAAGAAGAATAAATACATCTATGGACATTTTAAATTCAAATATTAGTAATAATCACAGGAAAAGTCAAAGAGGCAATTCTTTCCAGTAGTCTAAATAAAAGTATCATTTAATATGTACACTTCAGTTTGCTGACAAGATATGGATATGTTTGTCCTAATTGGATAAAAATAGGACATCATCATTTTATAAAGCACAAAATGCTCAATGAAAAGAAAAATATCTCTGACATTCACTACATTGTAGACAGCGGATTTGAACAGAGATTTGCTTTTTCACATTACCTCCATACTTGGACAACATGTACATGTATATGTATTCTAGCAGAGATGAAACCGAGGATCTGGCCATAAACCCACTGTTTATATGTTGTACAGGAGTTGATTATAAATTGTATGATTTTAATTGTATTTGTGTTTAGATTGGCTGCAGTAATGCTGGAGCGGCCTAAGTCAGAGGAGTCCTCCATGTGCGGATGCAGGAGAGAGGGAAGTGGGAGGAGCTTAGAGGGGAGAGTTTGAAAAAACAACAGTTAAAAATCAGTTAGGGTTTAGGTTTAGAGGAGTGAGCAGTCCGGGTTTAGGTTCAGAGGAGTCAGGAGTTAGGTTCAGAGGAGTTAGGAGTTGGGAGAGAAGGAAAGGAAAGGTGGCGGAGTGACTTGTGAAGCAAAGCTTTGAGGCTTTGAAAAGCTGGGTTTGGCTATTGGAAGTTTCTCAGGCTAGTGCAGCCGAATGGTGAAACATAGCTGGTATTCTTTTAGTCTAAGGAGAGGCTAAAGAATAGTTTACTTAGTATTTGATCTAGGGAGGATCAACTAAGGGAAACATCCCTGTATGGAAACTTTGTCTGAAACAAGTGCTCTACGTCAGAAAGATACTGTGTTACTTGAAAGAATGAACTGTTAAAGTTACAAGTATTATTCCAAGTGCAACAAGGAAAAGTTACGTCTTGCAACCACACGCTGTGTACTTAATAAAATTGTTAACTTTTATTTGAAGATTGCCTCAGCTCCGTCTATTCTGTGTACCAAGTGCCATTTCTCACAATATTACAACTTACCTCACGTGGTGGTAGAAACGTAGGGAAAAGTAACCAAATAAATCTACATTCTTCTCTCCAGTCACGCTACAGTATATACAGTGTAATTACTACTAAGTTATTACTTTCTTAATAAAGGAGGAGGTGCAATTGAACAGCCTCCCTCCTAACTTGATGGTAAATTTGGTTCCTGATCGGCAACCTCCATTGCAAATCGGCTAAGTCTTCTTAAAATTGGGAACTGGGGTAAAATCTCCTGAATACTGGTTCCTTTTAAATTGGTGGCAACAATAAATCATCCCTCAGCTCCCCTGATACTTCTCATATGTACTTAAGATTATTTTTAAAAATAGACCCAAACTGCCTGTCTGATATTAAATGATAGGTCTGAGGTCTATTGCTAAGATTCACACATTCACTTCCTTTTTGTTATCAACAATAATTAATATACTTCTGGTGAATAATTTAGATTTACTATACATACAAAACTTACAAAAACCAACTTAAATGTACGAAACATAGCAACGAAGTTGAAATCTGGTTGAGATTCAGCTTAGAAATGGAGATGAGCACCACACCCCAGACATGACCGGACTTAATGTTAGTAATTAACCTACCTTTAAGCAGTTAATTACTAACTTAAACAGGTTCAATTGACTCTTCAAACACACAGGCTGAAGATTTAAACCCCTGGGTTCGGTTTCTCCACACACCAGAACCCAACTTCCACTTTGGTCCACTGACCAAAAGAAACCGACTCTTTTAAAATGCCTGCCCCTCCCAGGTGGCAGTTAGCTCCGTATTTTGTTACAAAGGTGTAAAGCATAATGTTTTAAAATGTGAATAGATTTATCATTTTAATGCCCGTTATTATACCAACACAATGACTGAGGATTATGTTTGTATAAAGAGTAATAATAGAAATGATCTCTTTTTCTTTATTTCCAATCCTTCTAGGGTTCATGGAGCCACCTTGGGAGTAGGATCACTTCTAGCTGGCTTTGTAGGAGAATCTACCATGGTTGCAATAGCAGCTTGTTACGTCTATCAGAAACAGGTAAAACAATTAGAACTTTTCATTGAATTTCATGAAAGTTAATTTCAACTAAGCTTGAGTTCATGCTTTTGTTGTTTGGGAATGGGTAATTTAAACTCTGGTTTGATTTTATTCCTGCTTATCGGGAAGTCCGTTCTTTTCTCTTCCATGTGAGGATCTCCAATGCAAAGGGGGAATTACAACAGGGCCCTCTTTCTGCCTGTCATTTAGGTGATTGACCCTCATGTTAAATATTATCTATACATAGAATGGTCAATGTCATATAATCATAGAGTTGGAAGAGATTTCATGGGCCATCCCACCCAACCCCATGCCAAGAAGCAAGAAAATCACATCCAAAGCACCCCCAACAGATGGCCATCCAGCCACTGCTTAAAAGCCTCCAAAGAAGGTGCCTCCATCACACTCCAGGGCAGAGAGTTCCACTGCTGAACAGCTCTCACAGTTAGGAAGTTCTTCGTAATATTCAGGGGGAATCTCCTTCCTTGTAGTTTGAAGCCATTGTTCAACGTCCTAGTCTCCAGGGCAGCATAAAACAAGGTTGCTCCCTCCTCCCTATGACTTCCCCTCACATATTTATACATGGCTATCATGTCTCCTCTCAGCCTTCTCTTCTGCAGGCTAAACATGCCCAGCTCTTTCAGGCGCTCCTCATAGGGCTTGTTCTCCAGACCCTTGATCCTTTTAGTCACCCTCCTCTGGACACCTTCCAGCTTGTCAACGTCTCCCTTAAATTGGGCACAGTATTCCAGGTCTAGACTCCTATTTCTGCAGGCCAAAATCCCATTGGCCTTTTTAGATGCCACATCACATTGTTGACTCATGTTTAACATGTTGTCCACGAGGTCTCCAAGATCTTTTTCACATGTACTGCTGTTGAGTCGGGCAGCCCCCATTCTGTATCTTTGCATTTCATTTTTTTCTGTCATGGAGGGAAGGAGCTCATACAAACATTTTCCCTGAATCATTTGTCCATTTCCATTTAGGTCCTGAGAAACTTGCATTTAATATCACATATCCTTTATATTGGGAGCCCCCGGTGGCGCAGTGGGTTAAAGCACTGAGCTGCTGAGCTTGTTGATAGAAAGGTCGCAGGTTCGATTCCGGGGAGCGGAGTGAGCTTCCGCTGTCATCCCTAGCTTCTGCCAACCTAGCAGTTCGAAAACATGCAAATGTGAGTAGATCAATAGGTACTGCTTCGGCGGGAAGGTAACAGTGCTCCATGCAGTCATTCTGACCTTGGAGGTGTCCACGGACAACTCTGGCTCTTCGGCTTAGAAATGGAGATGAGCACCACACCCCAGAGTCAGACATGACTGGACTTAGTGTCAGGGGACTACCTTTACTACCTTTTTATTCTTTATATTAAAGTAAACCAGGTCGGAAAAGTTTACTAATCGAGAAAGAATTAGGTTTTGGCATTGTCGGGATTATGTGTTTTGTCTTGCTTTACTATCCTACAAATCTCCACAAGACCATCTGTCACCATACTCTGTTTTTTCCACCTAGAAAAAGAAGAGGAATGATAATGAGACAGCAACGGAAGGTGAAGACTCAGCAATGACTGACATGCCTCAAATAGAGGAAATGACGGACATCGTAGAAATGAGAGAAGAGAATGAGTGACAAACTGGAACTGTCTGTTCTCTGCAGGGACAACTGGAAACATACTTCTCTCATGATTCATTGTTTATTTTTAAATAAAGAGGCCTTGATTCCAGAGGTTTCAGATAATGAAATCCCTAGCATACTGAGTATGCTGGCATGGATGAGGGACTTCAAGGAACCGTTCCTGCTTTTCTTCTCCACTTCTCAACTGAACTTCTTCTATATCTCAGCGCAAGCTGCTACTGCTGCTGCTACATAGTAGAAGAGCCTCCCCTTTTGGACAGTCTAATGGCCAACCAAAGTCTCTCTGTTTCTTCAAGAATTCTGCTGCCGTCCTTCCACCGCCTCCAGTGCTTCCCCCGCTCCACTGACCCCGATGTGCCCCATTCCTCTTTTTATTATTATTAATTCAAGATTTAAACACGCAACTTTGGGGTGGGGGGAACGTTAGCTTTATTTTACTTGCTTGAAAATGACTTTGCTCTATTGACCTGTACCACGGTGGTCTCTTGAGGTTTTGCTTTCTCATCGTTTAGTGTAATATATTGTATACTGCTACAAAAACAAGATACCAAGACCAGAGGTTTAAAAAAGAATAAATGATAAACGGGATATATTAAATAGACATTGATAAACACAGAAGACTTCTGTTTAGAGTTGATTGTATCACCTAAGACACAAAGTGCTCTTTCTATGGTTAATCGAAACTGTGACCTATCACTTCCACTATACTAACTATATACAGTAGAGTCTTGCTTATCCAACCTTCGCTCATCCAACATTCTGTATTACCCAACACAGTCTGCCTCCCGCCCGGATCCATAGCTCTAGTTAATCGAAACTGTTAATCTATGGTTAATTGAAACTGTGAACTATCACTTCCATTATACTAACCATATACAGTAGAGTCTCGCTTATCCAACCTTTGCTCATCCAACGTTCTGTATTACCCAACACAGTCTGCCTCCCGTCTGGATCCATAGCTGTGGTTAATTGAAACTGTTAATCTATGGTTAATCGAAACTGTGAACTATCACTTCCACTATACTAACCATATACAGTAGAGTCTTCCTTATCCAACCTTCGTTCATCCAACGTTCTGTATTACCCAACACAGTCTGCCTCCCACCCGGATCCATAGCTCTAGTTAATCGAAACTGTTAATCTATGGTTAATTGAAACTGTGAACTATCACTTCCACTATACTAACCATATACAGTAGAGTCTCGCTTATCCAACCTTTGCTCATCCAACGTTCTGTATTATCCAACACAGTCTGCCTCCCACCCGGATCCATAGCTGTGGTTAATCGAAACTGTTAATCTATGGTTAATCGAAACTGTGAACTATCACTTCCACTGTACTAACCATATACAGTAGAGTCTCGCTTATCCAACCTTCGCTCATCCAACGTTCTGTATTACCCAACACAGTCTGCCTCCTGCCCGGATCCATAGCTGTGGTTAATCGAAACTGTTAATCTATGGTTAATCGAAACTGTGAACTATCACTTCTACTATACTAACCATATACAGTAGAGTCTCGCTTATCCAACCTTCGCTCATCCAACGTTCTGTATTACCCAACACAGTCTGCCTCCCGCCCGGATCCATAGCTGTGGTTAATCGAAACTGTTAATCTATGGTTAATCAAAACTGTGAACTATCACTTCCACTATACTAACCATATACAGTAGAGTCTCGCTTATCCAACCTTTGCTCATCCAACGTTCTGTATTACCCAACACAGTCTGCCTCCTGCCCGGATCCATAGCTGTGGTTAATCGAAACTGTTAATCTATGGTTAATCGAAACTGTGAACTATCACTTCTACTATACTAACCATATACAGTAGAGTCTCGCTTATCCAACCTTTGCTCATCCAACGTTCTGTATTACCCAACACAGTCTGCCTCCAGCCTGGATCCATAGCTGTGGTTAATTGAAACTGTTAATCTATGGTTAATCGAAACTGTGAACTATCACTTCCACTATACTAACCATATACAGTAGAGTCTTGCTTATCCAACCTTTGCTCATCCAACGTTCTGTACTACCCAACACAGTCTGCCTCCCATCCGGATCCATAGCTGTGGTTAATCGAAACTGTTAATCTATGGTTAATCGAAACTGTGAACTATCACTTCCACTATACTAACCATATACAGTAGAGTCTCGCTTATCCAACCTTTGCTCATCCAACGTTCTGTATTACCCAACACAGTCTGCCTCCTGCCCGGATCCATAGCTGTGGTTAATCGAAACTGTTAATCTATGGTTAATTGAAACTGTGAACTATCACTTCCACTGTAGTACCATATACAGTAGAGTCTCGCTTATCCAACCTTCGCTCATCCAACGTTCTGTATTACCCAACACAGTCTGCCTCCCACCCGGATCCATAGCTGTGGTTAATCGAAACTGTTAATCTATGGTTAATCGAAACTGTGAACTATCACTTCCACTATACTAACCATATACAGTAGAGTCTCGCTTATCCGACCTTTGCTCATCCAACGTTCTGTATTACCCAACACAGTCTGCCTCCTGCCCGGATCCATAGCTGTTTGTTTATTTATTTATTATTATTTATTTAGAGCTTTTATAACTTGGTCTTCTCAACCTCCGAAGAGGGACTCAGGCCAGCTAACAACAGGAAATTCATACACAAATAAGCTAAAACATAATAACATCATAATACATTAATACATAAAATGTTAATACATTAAGATACATTAAAATACAGATTAAATAATTATATAAAAAGTTTCAATACATTGCGATGTTTTGGTGCTAAATTTGTAAATATAGTAATTACTACATAAAGTTACCATGTATTGAATTGTTTTTTCTGTTATAAAACATGATGTTTTGGTGCTTAATTTGGAAAATCGTAATGTAATTTGACGTTTAATAGGCTTTTCCTTAATCCTCCTAATTTCCAACATTTTCACTTAGCAGCTTACAAGATATATTTATTTATATCTATATAAATAAAAATGTAATGTTCGTTTGTGGGTTTAACAGAACTCAAAAACCACTGGGCGAATTGACACCAAATTTGGACACAAGACACCTACTAACCCAAGGAGTGACCATCAAAAGAAAATTGATTTTGTCATTTGTGAGTTGTAGTTGCTGGGATTTATAGTACAGCTACAAAGAGCATTCTGAATTCCACCAATGCTAGAATTGAACCAAACGTGGCACACAGGACTCCCATGACCAGCATGGGCATTGGTGGGCATTGACCCTGAGTTTGGGAGTTGTAGTTCACCTACATCCAGAGAGCGCTGTGGACTCAAACAATGATGGATTTGGACCAAACTCGGCACGAATATTCCATATGCCCAAATTTGCAGACAAATTGAGTTTTGGGGGAAATAAACCCTGACATTTGGGAGTTGTAGCTAACTGGGATTTATAGTTCACCTACAATTAAAGAGCATTCTGAACCCCACCAATGACAGAATTGGGGCAACCCACACAGAACTCGCATGACCAACAGAAAATATGTAAGGCCACCCAGTCCAACTCCCTTCAGCAGGGCAAGAAAACGTAATCAAAGCCCTCCTGACGAAGAGCCATCCAGCCATAGATATAGATAAATATATATGATTAACACACAGAGAGATATAGTATCATAGATTTGAAAGGGACCCCTACAGAAGGACAATGATATGTTGCCTGTTCCAGAGTGGAAAACCAGACAATCTCCACATCAACACTAACAAAGAAAGAAGCATAAAGAAATTACATATATTAGAAACCAGCACCATCTCATTACTTTATTTTCCAGATCACCAGACTGGGCCACAGCAACGCGTGGCAGGGGACAGCTAGTCTATATAAATAAAAATGTAATGTTTGTTTGTGGGATTAACAGAACTCAAAAACCACTGGACGAATTGTCACCAAATTTGGACACAAGACACTTAACAACCCAATGTATGCCTTCACTTAAAAAATTGATTTTGTCATTTGGGAGTTGTAGTTGCTGGGATTTATAGTTCACCTACAATCAAAGAGCATTCTGAACACCACCAACAATGGAATTGAACCAAACTTGGCACACAGTTCTCCCATGACCAATAGAAAATATTGGAAGGGTTTGGTGGACAGTGTCCTTTGGTTTTGGAGTTGTAGTTCACCTACATCCAGAGATCACTTTGGACTCAAAGCAATGATGGATCTGGACCAAACTCTACACAAATACTCAATATGCCCAAATGTGAACACTGGTGGAATTTGGGGAAAATAGAATCTTGACATTTGGGAGTTGTCATTGCTGGGATTTATAGTTCACCTACAATCACAGAGCATTCTGAACCCCACCAATGATAGAATTGGGCCAAACCTCCCACACAGAACCCACATGTGTGCCACAGCAATGTGTGGCAGGGGCCGGCTAGTGTTAGATAAGCGAGACTCTACTTTAACATTTTTCTAAAACAATTGAAGACACTGAAATCAAAAGTGTTACTTAGAATCTCAACGTGCAGTCTTTTATTTGAGAGGTTTTTGTTCCCAGACAGCATAGTTTAGTTGTTGTGTCGGCAAGCAGCTGTTTCCAGGGTTATTATCAAAAGGACAGTGACTAAAAATGAAACAAACACCCAAGAGTTAAACTAAAGTTCTACTCTAATGTTTTAGAATGGCTATCTGTGTGCTCTGTTCAGAAATATACATTACATTGCAGGTTGCACAGACACTATCATGGTATGTCTCGTTAAGGTACATAACTCTGTATGTTTTCCCCCCAGCATATATTTCAGCCCTGAATGGTATACTTTATTTACTTACTGAGGTGATCCTTTATTGTCCGGGTATGATGGTCTTCCAAAGGTTTTATTTTTCTTGGAAGATGCCTGTGCGTGAGTTTTTTTTAATGTGTGGAGGTCAGTGCACAGCTGATCAATACACAGTCTTCACAGAGTGAGGTTCCCAACCAGTGTCATGGTTAACATGATGATGGTGACTTCTCAAACTGTTACAGCCTTCTTCTGCCTTCAGTGCCATTGCAACATGTTCCATGTTGTCTTCCACCTGATCAGCTGTTGAGGTCTTCAGGTCTTCGGATTGTGCTTGGTCTGAAACGTCCCCTGTGGTCCCTCCTGGAAGTATATGATTCTGACGGTTATGCCCGCAGGTTCTTTGGAACACTCAAGCCCCCTCATCACAATAAGATGACAATCCATCAAAGGGTTGTTAAAGTTCCAGTAGAAGAATGCTGCAATATCATAGAAGGAAAGGGTTCAATGGGAAAGAATACCATCTTCCAGTCATTAGTTTTCCTGGGCTCAATATTTCCCTGTAGTTTGCACATTGGTGGCTGAATTGCCCATCACAGATGACCAAAATGATTCAACATTTCTTTAGTGAAATTATATTTTTCTATAGAACAGTTGAAACAATTCTGTGTAATTTTTCACAAAGCCATTTTCTAGATTTTGGGAGCAGATTGCTTCAATCAGGTGAAATCTTGAAATCCTATTGTCAATATAGGTGTATATATACACACAAATGTGTATAAATATATACATTGTACATTGTGTATAATTTATTATAGCGTGCTATGTTTCTTACTTTCCCAAATTTAGTTTAAAAAATAAGAATCTCTAAAACAGGGGTCCTCACACTAAG